TGGGCCCCCCCCCCATACATGTATTTCTGGTATTTCTGGAAGGTCAACAACAGCCCCCAGTTTAAGGAACTCCTCCAGTATCCAAAGTCTAATCTTTTGTTATTGTTTTTCTTTCAGAAAGGTCATTGGTCACATACAAACAAATATGTGTAGCATACATGTACAGTACAAAATAAAGTACATGTACATTTGTTTTTTGCTTGTTTCAGGGTGTGATGGTTGGCATGGGCCAGAAGGATAGCTATGTAGGTGATGAAGCCCAAAGCAAGAGAGGTATCCTGACCCTGAAGTATCCCATAGAGCATGGTATTGTCACTAATTGGGATGATATGGAGAAAATATGGCACCACACTTTCTACAATGAATTGAGAGTTGCTCCAGAAGAACATCCTGTGCTTCTGACTGAGGCACCTCTCAACCCAAAGGCTAACAGAGAGAAGATGACACAGGTAATACCAAAATAAGTCATTGTTCTGTATGTTGAAAACAAAGATCCCAGTCCTTGATAGATATCATGTTGAGATACATTTTGGTAGGGTCTGTCGATTTATCAATATACAGCTAAAGGTGAAAGAACCTACATTTGTGTAGACTCTTGCGTGGATCACGCAGAACTAAAAATTATTATTATTTTTTCATTACGCGCGTGTGTCGCGATATCACGTGTGCAACGCACGTATCCCACTGCATGAGAAAGCATACATTGTATGCACACGCTTGGTACTTGATACTTGATTCAAGATATGGATTTGTACATTACTAACACATTGTCGTAAAAGTTGGTATCTAAAAAGGTCTATGCAAAACCCCCTACATACCCCCTGTGTAGAAAATATCAGACGGTTATTTATTACTCCCCATCACGCTCAATAAACCGCTAAAACTGATAAATCGAGAATGTGTTGAGAAATACAGGCATTTTTTGGCAAAAAATATGTTTTGCCCCCCTCTAGAAAAAATCCTGGCGACGCCCATGCTACAAGCATGGTTTAACGATCACATGTACAATTTACCGTAATTTCCTGCGGATAAGGCGCGCGGCGGATAAGGCGCAGGTCCCTAAAATCACCCCCCAAAAAAATTCAAACGCCAACAGATAAGGCGCACCGCCGCATAAGACGCATGTTTAACCGCACACAGAAGAACACCAGGCGTCACCCGGTGTCGGTACATCGCCACAAAGGGGCCATTGTGTTGCCTTCGAACGATCACACTATTCGGAGGATGAATTAAACCGTAACCACATTGGCTGGTCACATGTAGAGCCATGAAGAAAAGACCAATGTACATGTAAATTGATACCGACCTTCATCCATTCAGCCAACGCGCGCTGTGCATGCTTGCTTGCGGTTTCCGATCCTGGCCTTCCTTGGCCTTTTGTTAATGCAGTGCGGCCCAATCAGCGGCCAGAAACGATGGTCCACGCGCTGTCTGAAGATATTGCAACACACACGCTGGATCAGATTCCTAGACTTGCCCAGTCCCTCCGAGCCAGATGTTGCGCCCTCTACCGGTGACTAATACAAAAACTAGCATCGCCTATGTATATACCATAGGAAAATAATCCCGTCACACCGGGGGAGACGTAACAAAAATGTTTTATTATATTTTTTAAAGATTGTTGTAATGTTTTTTTTGTATTTAAAGTTCTTTTCCTTTATTTCAAACCTATAATTTGTTAATCACGTTCATAAGATATTTGTTTAATACATCGCTTCTCTTAGTGTTAGTTTTGTTTTCAAGATCATTAAACTTATTTGATATCTTACTAATAAAATAAACGAAACAGACACATGAACCATCTCTTTTCTCGTTTGGTCGTCCTGATAAGGACGGTTTGTTTTGTTGGACTCTTCAAAGTTTATTTGAAGCTATATGTCAGCGGAGTATATGCTATAAGCTATATGTCAGCGATGTATACATCGCGGAGGAAGAGACAGCCGATCGTCGGGCAACAGACCTCGACGACGAGTTGCTGGCTATGTTTCATAGCGACAGCGAGGATGACGACTTTGACGGCTTTCCAGACGTCTAGACAAACAAGAAAAACCAACTGGCTCTTTTCAGAGCCACCACATCATCAAAAAAGAGATTGATATTGTGCTGTCTGAATAAAGTAACAAATAAAAAGTTCAAAGGGTCAAAAAAGGTTTCCCAAATCATAAGAAAAGTCCCAACAAATCCAGAAACATAAGTCTTATCATAATATTATCCTAAATATAAAAATTTCTTAAAACAAAACTCCTATTACCATATTTAAAATAAAAATCCTGACCTACTATTATAATAAGATAATACAAATTCCCATAATACTTTTTAAAACAAACGTCTAAAAAGAGGCAATTAATAAATGAACGATTTGAACGTTTAATGAAACAAACGAAAGTGCAACAAATAAACATTAGTACTTCATATTATCCTAAGTCTAAAGCAGACTTCGAAGATATCCTGTACAATAAACACCCTCAATGTTCACACAATAGAACTTGAGTGAATGCGATTTCCAAACGTTTAAGTAATTCTGATTGCAGCATTTTCGGAATGAAAAAACGGCCACAAAGAAAAACGTTTGTATGACGGCATTGTTGGAACGAAAGCACGATCACTAAGGGGGATCAACGCATTGCGGCATTGTTGGAATGAAAGCACGATCATGGGGGATCAACACATCGCGGCATTGTTGGAATGAAAATACGGTCACAATGTCTGGAGAGTTGAGCCTTGGTTGACCGCATTATTGATTGCGGCATTGAAAGAATTCTTCACACAAAGACCGTCACTTTGAACTCAAGCGACACCAGATAAGGCACCTGTAGATAAGGCGCAGCGATGTTTTTGTGGTCTAGAAAGTCAGATAAGACGCGTCTTATCCGCAGGAAATTACGGTACATGATATCAGTTATGATCATTACAAGGTCCAGGTAAGCATGGTTGAATAATCATATTACAACTTGCATACTATATGCAGTTGGGCAATTCCACACTAATGCGCCCAAAAGTGTGACATTTGAGAAGACCTTTAAGTTTTGATGATAAAACTGCAGTCTTGGTCTCTCAATTTTTGCTGTAAACATTGCAAGCTTTGAACAAATGTCCTTACCTGCAAATGATATAACTGGCTTTGTATTTTAGAAAATATAGTGGATGTTGTTTTAAAAAGTGTTACGATAAATGTACGTAACGAAGGACAGACATTTTAGATAAAGTCACAAAGTAAGCATGAAGCTTACTTTGTAAGATGTACCCTAGAGGAATGCTTATCAGTCAAAACCTAGAAAACTCAGAGTCAGTGCGAAGAATTATTTGATATTTTATAATCAGGATTTATACGTACCGGTACAAACAGACTGGACATTTGTCACAAAATGTCTGTCCCTGTTCGTACGTAACCCTACTCACATCATAAATTTGAAGCCAGTGTGAAAACTGTTATATTTTTGCTTGATAACAATGTAAAGTGGCTTATGTCACTGGAAGTGCCTATTAGAAACTTAATTTGTCCTAAGCACCCTTTTCCTAGCAGTGTGTCTGTCCACGTTACATACGTATCACACAGAAAAGATGCCTGTTATTTTCTTTAATATCGGGTAGATCCCATCCATACATAAGCGCAATCGCTTCTCACAGTTCCCAAGGGACTACGGATATCCATACAATTAGAAGTGCAATCGCTTCTCCCAACAATTTAGAAGTGTAGTCGCTTCTCCCAACAATTAGAAGCGCAATCGTTTCTCACAAGTCCCCATGGACTAATAGGATATCCCTAACATTAGAAGTGCAATCGCTTCTCACAAGTCCCAAGGGACTACAGATATCCCTACAATTGGAAGCGCAATTGCTTCTCACAACAATTAGAACACCCTCGCTTTTTACAAGCTGATAAACGCTGTGAATAATTTACTTATCTGCAGCACAAGAGCCCATGGAGGGAGAGTGGCTTAGATCAATCATTACAATGATAATGGACGTGGCCCAGCACCCCGGCGATAGTCGCTTGTCCGTTTGTGCTGACCCTACCACTCATAATTTGACAAATAGACAATGGGCTCTTGTGCTGCAGATAAGTAAATTATTCACAGCGCTTCCAAACCATCCAAACAACCTGACAACCACTAATTTTTTTAAATTTTTTTTTTTGTGGGCCTGCCCAGCTAACACATTCACGTTGTAACAACGTTGCAAAAAGGTCACGTTTTCGTGGCGGCAACGTTCAGAAAATTACGTTGCGGCAACGTAAAAATGTTGACTCGCGTGCACGTTGCCACAACGCTATTACACAACGTTTAAAAGACGTTATAAAAACGTCAATGAAACATTTATTACAACGTTTTCAGTACACGATCCTGCAACCCTCCAGCAACGTAATTGTCACCTTTATACAACGTCTTGGCACGTAAATGCAACATGATTACGACATGATTACCACCATGACGGAACGTTACTGCAACTTAATGGCCACTTAAAATGAACATTTATACAACCTTGTGGGGACATGATTACACCATGATTGGCACGTTACTGCAACTTTTATTGGGACGTTCCTGCAACCTTATAGGCACGTCACGACAACTCTTTTGCCACGTTAATGCAACTTGTTGGACATAACTACAACCTGATAGGCACGTTTCTGCAACCTTTATGGGGACGTTCCTACAACCTTATGGGCACGTCAGGGCAACTTTTTGGCCACGTTAATGCAGCTTGTAGGACACATTATTGCAACTTCATGGCCACGATGTGGGGACGTTTCTACAACCTTAATTGTTAGCACGTCAATGGCTCATTACAGACGTTACTGCAACTAAGTCAACACGTTCCGGTAACTTTGTGGGCACCTCACAACTTTTCAAAAACGTTCACGCAACTTATTAGATACATCACTGCAACTTTGTGGGGACCTTGTAGCAACATTGTTCCTGGCACGGTTTATTAACTAAACTAATCGTGCAACGACGATATACCTGTCTGCAAACAATAAACAAAACAAAAATTAACCATCAGACTTACTGTTTCTACATTTATTACAAAGAATGTATCCGGTGAATGCATGGAAGCAAACCTTCGTCAATCATTATTATTACAAAGCTAGTATAAATCTGATATAACAGTACAATGTCGCTTTCAGTTCGCCTATTTAAAAATAACACATTAAAGCCTCTTGATTCAGTTAGAAAACCAATGATCTAGTTTTGTGTGTGTTTTTGCTGGGAAGCAGGAACAGTAAAACAGATTGCCCGCCAACGGCATTATTTTGTCAGTTTCCCTTCAAAACGAAAGAGTGTCAGATTTTGTGCATATAATTATACATGTATTCATCTTCAGCAAGGATGGGCACAAGTCTATTTATTTATATGCATATATTAACCTTTAGCAAGGATTTAAATGTCCTGAAATTGCTAAGCTGGGCAGGCGTACATCTCCGGGTGACTACCAGTTATGCTATAAGTAACTTTAACGTAAAATATTATTCTTCAGGCAACGTGGGACTGAGTTTTCTGACAACATATTTTATGTTTTCTGTTATTTTTGAGTTTCATCCCGAAAACACAATTGGTTTTTAAACATTGCTATCTTAGTAATTCAAAAGTTACACAATTTGAACGAACTTTGTCAACAAAAATATCAGGACGTTTTTACTATTGGCAAGTAAGTTTATATAATTTAACTGTTTGCGTTCACATTCGAGTCAATCCCATATCCGTTTAGAATCGATTATACAATGAAAAGGGACATCATGAACCAGTCTACTTGCATAGTGGATCTGCGCGGCCTAAAATGATAAAACCTCCTATTTTTCCCCAATATACAATGCTCCCTCCAAAAAAAAAAGAGCTAACAATACTTTCTTCATTACCATTAATTAGTCATTGGGACTTCACCTTATATTTCTTTGGTTCTCATTTTTTAATCGACCCTATTTTGGGATATGTTTTTCCGCCGACAATTTCCAAAACCCCATTCACAGACAATTTTTTTCCAAATAAAAAAACAAAGAATATTGCATTCGAGCAACTAGCTCTGTGTTATTCTGAAATGTTATTTAAATTGAATATCATATTTTTTTCTCGACTTGAAAATTACGGCTTACGGAAATCAGAGGAAGAAAGACAGATGAGAGAATTTTGCCTCTCATTATAATATTGCTGCCACTACAACTAAATTGTTAATGAGATGCTTCGTCCAGACATTACTGTAAGTCGTCTATAATTGGCCAAAATGGGTTTTTTAAAAATTGTATTCAGTGATATCAAATCATGATAAACTTATTGCATCATTTAGTTTACCATCTTTACGAGTGCAACTTTAGTTCAGATTGTTATTGCTTTTTGACTGACCGACTAGGCTTCATATAAGGGCAAATAAAAATAATTATGAGAACCACGGAGATAAATAGGGAAGCCCTAATAGGCCTACAAGAAAACAAATTTTGAAGAGCACGAACGATGCACTTATTTTCACGCAAAAGATGCAGTGTCGTTATTCATCATCTACAGGGTTTGCAGGGTCGACAGGGTCGGCGGGCTGAACAGCGTTGGCAGGGTTGGCAGGATTCTGCACACACACACAAAATAGAAACAAATAAATGTAAAGATTTGTCCAGATGGTGGACAGCCGATGATGACCAACCGACTTATTTTTGGATTATCTGTCACTTCTTTTTGGATCATTATTGTGCATGAGAAGGTAAACAAAATGTACTGACATTTCATTTTTGTGTTCCGCAAGCGTACTGCGATTAATGCTTCAAAGGCAATTCTGGTAAAGAGTACACCATCCGCAAACAACTTCCAGTGTACAAGTTTGTATATCTTGGATAGATATTACACTGTTGTCTTCAGCCATTAGTGTGAAGTCGACATTAAGATAACTTTGCCTTATATAAAAGAGTTGTTTTCTTACTCTGTAGGCCCAGGCCTACTTGTTAATTTTACAGGCAACTTAAATACTGTTCACAGTAATTTGGTGTAATTAATATTACCCTGAATCTTGCCCTCCGGGCTTGTTTAGTGGGGCAAACTTCCAGAATGAAGCTATGTCCTCCCCTCGCCTTGGCCTCTGCTACTCGACGAGTTGTCATGCAGGCCCCTAATAAATGATAGAAAACATGAATTTAATGCTATATCAAAATGTACACGAGAAACTACCGACATTTTAAAAGGAAACAGCAATTCGTCTATTTCGACCAAGGTGTATTTTCAACACATTAAAAGTTAATTTCACCATCTTACAGAGATACATGTATAAAAAGGTCATGTATGTTGAATTACTTACAGCAACAACCTTGAAGAGATGTATGGGTTGGTCTTCAAAATAATTAGAAACTTCTTCCCTCGAAGACTGCTGAAGTTAAAAGTTAAAACATGCCACATCCAGCAGCCAGTGCACTCACGTATAGCAAACCTGTGTACTGCCTACCTGGAGAAAGGTTAAGGTTGAGTAATATGTAAAACTAATAAAGTTTGAACACAGTATCATGATGTCCCCGTGCTCTTCAACCCATATAATGTCTTATTTTTCACACACAAAAACTAGTCTACAAATGACCCTAGTTTTAGAAAAGGCTTTTATAGTTCGCGTATTTTTCATTGATCTTGTAACAGTGCTGACCTGGCCCTGAACCCTACTCCATACACTTTGGTCAAACTCCCATAAATCACGCCAAACCCTGGGAGCTATACAGCCCGAAAGCCCGGATTGAAACTGTATACACTTGTTATGTACGAGCCAACGAAAGCCAGATGACCGTTTATACGAGTACAGTCCTGGTACGTGAACTTTAGGCCTGACCCTTGGGACTGAAATGCTAATGCGCGTTGCTATTAGTATTACAACCGTACACTGTCTTTGAGCGGGAATTTTATAACGGACTGTTTATGCTTAAATTTGCGCAAGTTTTAGTTAAGAGAAAATCAAATCAGATCTATAAATTAAGAGATACCCCAGGTATACAATTTCACGGTTGTTGGCTCGGGTATCATGGGTATCTCAATACAATATTGTTACAGTTTGATTAATTCATCAATTTGAAAAAAAATAAAAACATAAGCCTATACTATAGTACACAAATCAAAAGTCTTCTCGATATAATGTATACACTTCCAACATTTTGCCATTTGCTAAAACAATATCTGTTTTATCTAAAATTATAACTATCGAACAAATAACTTTCCAACCTAAAGTGTTGTTAAAAAGGTCTAACATGTCTCACATGAATTCGAGTAAATCTGATCCACATGAATATTATTTCCTTGGAATATTACCAAGATTTTATTATTAAATTGAAAACCAGATGACTTGAACGTTTCTTTCAGTGTATGATCCTCCAAAACTGTTCGCATTGACGAGCCTCCAATCTCAATTGAGGCACATATTTTCACTCTTAATTAATCTACATTTATTCTGATCGAGTCTGAAGAACATTTTCAACATTTATAAAAAAAAACCAAGATGATAGGCATAGGAAAATCTTCATTTTTTTACAGCGACTTTGTTCGAAAAGTTGTTTTACTTTAATTTGATCCAATTTCTTCAGATTTTTAGACAATGTGTTCGACACAAGAATGAAGCCAAGATACAGAAAATGTCATTCCTACCTTCTAAGAAATGCTGTAGTGAAAATAACTTGCTTCAGTGGTGACCATGGCTAATTCACATCAACTGAACGGCGAGTCGGCGACCATTATACTAGTGAGCTGCTGCTGCTAGATCGCTGACTCGACTGAGCAGAGCGATTCAAATAAGCTATCACGCGGTCTGGACGTGGAATTTCTGCTGACGCGCATGCGCCATGGTAATATTTTCTTTGAGAACAGGAATCATATTTCAAGTTACGTTGGTGTGTGCAATAAATATATACATTGAGTATACAACAATGAATATGAGCGGGAAACAGTCGCGCTTTGACCACGATCTCATCCATCTTAGACCATTAGAAAAATATATGGAAACATTATATTCCTACTACGACAAAACACACATGATGATGCTCGAAATTTCATGAGTTACATTATTAATGCAAGGCGGCACCCAAATGTTAATTATTATCAAATAAAACATCATTAATTAAAACATTATGTTCACTTCACATTCAGTAAATCGTAATCACAATGTTTTTGTCAATACCACAACAGCATGGATCATAACCCACAGCATAATTACAACTTAAATTCAGTGTCAAAACACCTTTATAAAACGTTACAGCAACGTGAGGTTCACAACATAGCAGCAACGCTGTGAAAATACCAAACTGCAATGTCACGACAACATGATATTTACAACTTAACAACGACATTATGATGAGACTTTTATGCAACGTCATCATAACGTCATGAACACAGCAACGTGGTGTACATATTTATCTACAACGTCATGACAACGTGAGATTGACAACATACCAACAACGTTGTGAAAGTACCCACATACAATGTTACAACAACGTCATGATTATTACATCACAGCAACGTTTTGAAATACCAAACTACAACGTCGTGTCAATGTGATTTTCACAACTGAAAAAAAAAAACGTTATAAAATAACGTAGATGGAAGGTTAACTCAACGTCATGATTATAACCTCACAGCAACGTTGTAAACATTCTAAATTACAACGTTCTCACAACGTAACATTGACAACTTAAAAACAACGTCATGAAAACACCTACATTCAACGTAACCACAACGTCATATTTATTACTTTATTACAACGATTGTGAAACGACCACCATACAACGTCAATACAATGTCATATGATGACTTTCGTACAACGTTGTACAAATTACCGATATACAACATTTTTACAACCAACAATTATACAGTCAAACGTTGTGTCAACGTTGCTTGAATGTCATCGTGACACGTTACCAAATGACAACATTTTCACAACTTTGCACAACGTTGTGGCAACGTGATGTGTTAGCTGGGTGGTTACCCGTTTGTCTCTGACTTTACTGTAACTGGAGACAATACTAAACCAACAAGATGCATGATCAACTAACTACTGTTTATCCACTAAACCCTTGAATAAACTCAATATCTTAACATAATAAGAATACACATTCCACAATACTTTGGATTTCGCACCACGTCCCAGCTAATACAACTTGCCACAACGTTGTGCAAAGTTGTGAAAATGTTGTCATTTGGTAACGTGTAATGATGACATTCAAGCAACGTTGCCACAACGTTGACTGTATAATTGTTGGTTGTAAAAATGTTGTATATCGGTAATTTGTACAACGTTGTACGAAAGTCATCATATGACATTGCATTGACGTTGTATGGTGGTCGTTTCACAAACGTTGTAATAAAGTAATAAATATGACGTTGTGGCTACGTTGTATTAGGTGTTTTCATGACGTTGTTTTTAAGTTGTCAATGTTACGTTGTCAGGACGTTGTAATTTAGAACGTTCACAACGTTGGTGTGAGGTTATAATCAATAATTTTGTTGAAATACATGTGTATCATGTTGTCGTAACATTGCAGTTTGGTATTTTCACACCGTTGCTGTTACGTTGTGAACCTCAGATTGCTGTAACGTTTTGTAAAGGTGTTTTGACAATTTAAGTTGCAATTATGTTGTGTAAAATCACATTGTAGTTACGATCCATGCTGTTATGGTATTGACAAAAACATTGTGATTACGATGTACTGAATGTATAGTGAACATAATCTTTTAATTAATGATGTTTTAATTGATATTCATAAATACCTAAGACGGTGACTGCTCTTTGTTCCGACACCCCTATGTTCCGACAACCTAGATTGTGTTACTCCCTTTTAGGGTTAGGGTTAGGGTTAGGGTTAGGAATAGGAATATGTGCAGTCGGAACATAGGGGTGTCGGAACATAGAGGTGTAACCCCTAAGACGGTTTAGGCATTCCTATTGGTCGAGAGCCTGTCACGTGGCTGGTCTTAAACGGATGATAAAGGCATGGCTAGCTGGTTTTAAACACTTTTCCAGTGTCACATGAAATTTGGACTCCCATGAAATCCGGTGCCTTTTAACGTTTCATTGGTTGCACGTTCAAATTCCCCACGTATGCATGCCCAATACTACCAGTGAATCATTATTTCATAGTCCGATATTCACACTACACAAGCCCAGCTGCGTTTTGCGCGACATCGCGCAGTACGCGCGACCATGGAGGTGGAATGCGCGATGCGCACGCAATTGTGGAGGGGCATTCCATATTATAGTCAGAGGGGTGTTTCGTAAAACATGAAGTAAAATTGTTGAACAAAATGGTTAACAACGTCTAGTTTTTGACTTGTTTTGATTTTTGGACCGAAAAGATTTGTTTTTTTACCAAAACAGTATTTATGAATGGGAATAAATATGTGTTCCGTCGGTATTAAACACTCTGTTTAAAACCGGTGAGAGTCTGGATGGGTGCTAATTACCCATCCAGACTCACACTGGTTTTAAACAGAGTGTTATAATACCGGTACCTCCGAAACACACGTTTATTCCCTTAATAATTAACATTTGGGTGCCGCCTTGCATTATTAATGTAACTCATGAAATTTTGAACATCATCATGTTTTGTTTTGTCGTAGTAGGAATATAATGTTTCCAGACATTTTTCTAATGGTCTAAGACGGATGAGATCGTGGTCAAAGCGCGACTGTTTCCCGCCCATATTCATTGTTGTATATTCAATGCATACATGTACCTCATTGCCCACACCAACGTAACTAGAAATATGATTCTTATTCTCAAAGAAAAATATTACCATGGCGCATGCGCATCAGCAGAAATTCCATGTCCAGACCATGTGATAGCTCATTTGAATCGCTCTGCTCAGTCGAGTCAGCAATCTAGCAGCAGCAGCTCACTATAACGGTCGCTGACTCGCCATCCAGTTGATATGAATTAGCCATGGTCGCCAAGCAAGTTATTTTCACTGCAGCATTTCATAGAAGGTAGGAATGAAATTTTCTGTATCTTGTCCTCATTCTTATGTCAAACACATTTTCTAAAAATCTGATGAGAGGATCAAAGGAAAACAACTTTTCGAACAAAGTCGCTGCACAAAATAAAGATTTTCCTAAGGCGAGCCATCAGATAACAGACCGTTCGGGTACCGGGTCCGGTATGCTAATTTCTTTCACCCCAATCGGTACGAAGCCAGAAGCCACCCGGTCACTGAAGCGTGACGCCCCAATCGGTCCAAACTGGTGACTCAGGGTTTGACAATAGGCAACATAAATTGAAGTCTGGCCATTGTTGGAGGATTATTCGGCCCGCTGGGATTACCAGCGGCAACTTCTATGAAGCTCATCACAGTCATTATTGCCTACTGGAGGATTAGCGCGTCGCAAATTGGTTCCTTTGTGATGAGCCAGAGCCATGGTGCAGAAGCCTGGTGGAGTTAATCCAGGCCGATCGGTTCCATGCAAGGTCCCAATCCCTTCAACATACTGGGCGACATTTTTCTAATGGTCTAAGACGGATGAGATCGTGGTCAAAGCGCGACTGTTTCCCGCCCATATTCATTGTTGTATATTCAATGCATACATGTACCTCATTGCCCACACCAACGTAACTAGAAATATGATTCTTATTCTCAAAGAAAAATATTACCATGGCGCATGCGCATCAGCAGAAATTCCATGTCCAGACCATGTGATAGCTCATTTGAATCGCTCTGCTCAGTCGAGTCAGCAATCTAGCAGCAGCAGCTCACTATAACGGTCGCTGACTCGCCATCCAGTTGATATGAATTAGCCATGGTCGCCAAGCAAGTTATTTTCACTGCAGCATTTCATAGAAGGTAGGAATGAAATTTTCTGTATCTTGTCCTCATTCTTATGTCAAACACATTTTCTAAAAATCTGATGAGAGGATCAAAGGAAAACAACTTTTCGAACAAAGTCGCTGCACAAAATAAAGATTTTCCTAAGGCGAGCCATCAGATAACAGACCGTTCGGGTACCGGGTCCGGTATGCTAATTTCTTTCACCCCAATCGGTACGAAGCCAGAAGCCACCCGGTCACTGAAGCGTGACGCCCCAATCGGTCCAAACTGGTGACTCAGGGTTTGACAATAGGCAACATAAATTGAAGTCTGGCCATTGTTGGAGGATTATTCGGCCCGCTGGGATTACCAGCGGCAACTTCTATGAAGCTCATCACAGTCATTATTGCCTACTGGAGGATTAGCGCGTCGCAAATTGGTTCCTTTGTGATGAGCCAGAGCCATGGTGCAGAAGCCTGGTGGAGTTAATCCAGGCCGATCGGTTCCATGCAAGGTCCCAATCCCTTCAACATACTGGGTGGGCTCAACCCCGAACGGTCTGGGGAGGGATTCTAATTTGAGGGCTCGCCTAAGCCTATCATCTTTGTTTTTTTTTAAATAAATGTTGAAAATGTTCTTCATACTCGATCAGAATTAATGTAGATTAAGAGTGAAAATCTGTGCCTCAATTGAGATTGGAGGCTCGTCAATACGAACAATTTTGGAGGATCATAAACTGAAACAAACGTTCAATTCATCTGGTTTTTGTTTTAATAATAAAATCTTGGTATTGTGGCGGTTTAGTCTCTTGAGTCTGCTACCACACCACACCCACACCCCAGCAATAGTTCAACCCCAACACACCTCGACGAACGGGGATAATGACGACAATAAATGGGGACGGACACAAATCATACAGAACCAGTATCCTTCCTTTAATTTATTC